CAAAAATGGATTTTTTTTTAAAGGAAAAAAACGAAAAAAAAGAAAACAGAAAGAAAAAAATGCAAAAAACCCAAAAACAAACAAACAAACAAAAAATAATACTGGGGCCTTGGCCACAAGCCTGGGATATTGCAGGAAATTGGCTGAAAAGAGTTTCTATCATCACAGGTAGAAAAAAATATCCCAAGTGGAGGAATTCTACATCAGCAGTTTAGAATAGTTTGGAAATAAATGAAGTGAGGCAAAGGCTGTTTGCAGGGAAAAAAAAAGAAAAGAAAAATGAAAAAGAGCCATAAAGTTTTTGCTAAAGCAGTAAAAGCAGTGGCAAAGGGTTTTGCTGATCTCAGAGGTGTTGTCACAGGATGGCTCTGTCCAGGTAACACCAACTCCCAGCACTCCCAGCACAGGAAGAGCAGAGGAGCAGAGCCTGCAGGAGCCAGAGGGATCCAGGAGAGAGGTTTGGCCAAGAAAAATGAGGAACAGGGAAGTTTGGAGGGAATGCCAATGTTACCTGGGACAGGTTAGCAGCAAACAGAGCCCTCAGAAACATTTAGGATTTCAGTAGTTTAGGATGGAAGGAGTCAGACAGCTCATCAGGCTTTGAGGAAGGATTTCCTCAGCTCTTTCAAGATTTTCTATGATTATTTACTGTAGGACTGATGAGCCATCAGAGTACAATGTCCTATTTCACCTCCACTTTAGACTCCAACAACAAAATTTAGATCTTCAAACCAACAACCCCAGCTTGTTTTAGGACTTGCTAACCCTTAAAAGACCATTGTCCCAGAGATCCACCTCCAGTTCCTGCTCCTGGCCATGCCCAGAAGTGAAATTCAACCTCAGCACCCACTTCTGCCACCCTTCCTCCCCCTGTGCCCTGGGCTGGACCTGCAGGTCAAGCCCTCTGAGCCCTTAGGGCTGCACCTCAGGCTTTGTACATCCCCAAAACCCTGAGCCAGGGCTCTAAACCCCCTCTGAGAGCTCATCCCAGTCCTCCAGCCCCTGGCCTTGGCTGTGAGCTGTGGGCTGGGCTCTGCCCCTGCAGCAGGAGGGCTCGGAGCTCCTGCAGCCTCCCACGCTGAGATCCACGCTGGGCACAGCTCCAGGACACTGCACATCCCATCACCTTCCCCGGGCACTCGGCTTCCTCCTGCCGGCAGATTCAGATGGAGAAAGGAAGAGAAGCTAAAAGAAGGCAAAGTTGCAGAGTTAGAGCCCCAGGGGAAGGAGAGGCACCTTTCCCATGAGATCACAATGCTCTTTTACTGCAGAGATGTTGGAATAAAGCAAAGGATCCCCTCAGCACCTCCAGCAGTGCCACAATGTCCATGACACACAAGCACCTCTGTGCTGACATTGTGAAGGCAGCAGGACTTTTCTTGAGCAGCCAAACCTCTGATTTCCTCAATTCCTTTCATTTCTGGGCATATTGAAACTGGGCTATGAGAGTCAATATTGCCAAACTAGACAGAGTGATGTGATTGAACAGACCCTCAGTTAATAAAACTGTCACTCAGCAGCACAAGGAGGTATCTATGAGTGAAATTTTGAAATTGTACTCTTTTGGGTAACTGTCATTTGCTCTTAGAAATTACATTTATAATTAATGTTTGCTGTAGAACTTATAAATATTTGTTCAGGCTAGCATGAAATATGCCCAGGATAATTTTAGCATGTACGCATCAGATTTTCATTTCACAGCAGAGAAGACTCAAAGTGAGCCTGTTCCCTCCACAGACAATGGAGTCTTCATCCCTGGGACACAGGTCCTCCTCCCTGGGGAGCTGTGCCCGCTGTGTCAGGGCTTTGGGGACCAAGGCTGGCACAGCCAAAGACACAACTGAGAACTGCAATTGTTCCTCTGCTCATTTCCCTGGCAGAAACTCAGAGCCAAGGGTCTCCTGTAGTGGGGTTAGGGACAGGCAGGACCTTCTGCTCCCAGGATCTCCAGTCCAAAGCAATGACAGACACATTCCAAACACAATCCCCTCACAAAAGGTGGGACAACACAAATCCCTTATGCTGCTGGGACAAACAGGTGTTCAGAGAGCAGTGGAATGGAGAAGTTAAAGGATTTGGGGGGATGAGCATCTCCAGGAACTTCCTCAGACACCTGTTGGAGCCATGGAGAGCATTCCCATGAATTCAGTGTGCTTGGGATCAGCCCTTCACTGTGCATCTCTGAGAACCTGCCTGTGCCACGTCAGTTTGGTGTGCTGAGTTTTGTATCCCTGCTCTTGTTGTAACACAGCCCTTCCCGAGGCACACTGAGATCTCTGCCTGACCACAACAGCAAAAAAAGCCTCTGAAATTGGGTCTGGGGTCACTTTCCCTCCTAGTTCCTAGAGGAAGCACTTTGTAGCTCATTATTGGCTTGGTTTATAAATACCAGCACCCAGAAATGGATAAGGAGCATTTTGTATTCCCCAATGTCTGATGGGCAGGAACATTTCAGCCACAGAATCATTGAAGTTGGAAAAACCCTTAAAGATTATCAAGCTCAACCATTAACCCATCACTGCCAGGTCCACCAAGACCTCGATGATGGTGTCCAACCAAGAGCAATGCAATTCACATTTCAAGAGCTTTCCCCAGCTGGATTTCTGCAGTGTCTGAGGTTTTTGTCCTCTCCCATGGGTTCAGCCACCTGCAGTATCCCCTGAGACATCTCACTCCAGTCTCTCCATTTGCTGCCTCTCTAGCAGTGCCACTTTAATGACAGCAATCCTGTCCCTCAGTCTTTTAATCCTTGTTCTGTTTGTGCAGCTTCAGAACATCCACCAATACAAATCTGGGCAGCTCTTGCAGTTCTGCTTTTGCCAGAGCAGCTCACGGGCACTTCAGGGCATTTCACACAGCCCAGGGAAGGGAAGAGTCCCTGGGACCATTCCCTGGGCCTGGAGTGAGACACACAGGGGCACCTTCATCCATCCTGAAGAACTCCCTGAAGCTCCAGAACAGGTGGGTCATTCTTAAGGGTCTATTTGGAGCAGTTCCTGTCCCACACTAACCCCAAGCTGTGACTAAAATCTCTCCAGGGCTGGGTAAGTTGGTTGGGCCAGCTCCACACCAGGGTCCATCTTCATGGTTAAAAACATGGGCAGTAAATTTCAATATCTGGGGAAGATTTCCAGGATTTCATTTACTGGAGCAGATTAAATTCATGTGTCCCAAATGTCATTTGGCAATCGCTGCTTTCTTAGACCCAGGAAACTGAGTTCAGTAAAACCCAGCTGGGTTCCAGGAACAGACTACAGCCAACATCCCCTTTGGGATCCTAAATCTCACAAGAGAACAAGAATATTTAATATCTGTGGTGGGTCATAGTCAGCTGGAAAACCCATCAGAGTAAGCCTGGAGAAATTTGGCCTCCCAGTGCCTGCAGATGCAGGGAGGGATGGAGAGGGGAAGTGTGAGCAGCTCCTGTGTCCTCCCCTGGGTGTGCCATGGCCAGGACAGCAACCCCCCTGTGAGAGCAGCACTGCCCAACTCAGCATCCAAACACAGCCAGATCAGGGAGAATGGCAATCACGAGCAGCAGGAGCAGGAGGCACCACGGGATCATGGAATGGTTTGGGTTGGAAGGAACCTTAAGGATGATCTCATTCCACCCCTGCTACGAGCAGGGACACCTTCCACTGTCCCAGGTGGCTCCAGACCCCATCCAACCTGGGACACTGCCAGGGATGGGGCAGCCACAGCTTCCCTGTGCCAGGGTGCAATTAAACAACAACCAGGAATTTGTTTGTGCCCAGAGCCCTAAGATCAGGAGAAGCTCTGGAGCTTTCACAACCATGAGATGCATTGAGCTGCCCAAGCCAGGACCTTGACTCTCCATTGCTGCCATGGCTCTGAAATAAATGGATTTGTTGTTCCTAAAGCACCTGATCTCGAGGTGGCTCCTGGGGCAGCCCCAGGGCAGCAGCAGAGCTGTGGCTGCTGAGATGCTTTAGGAGAAAAAGCAACTTGTTTGGCTTCTCCCATTTCTTTGTCCCATTCTGTCGAGTCATCCCCTGTGCCTGCACAATAGCTCCTGTTAAAACAGGCTCTCCATCCAACAAGGATTTTTAAGGAAAATCTTTGTTGGGTCTATTTGTAAATTATAAAACCGATTAGGGTTTTGTTTGTTTGTCTGTTTGGTTTTTTGTTACATGTGTGGGGTTTTGATAATATTTCCATCTTCCTGCAGCCAGAGATGCACTTCACAAGCAATCCATCGGTGGGACCTGTCCCCACCTGCCTGCTCCCCTCTCACCATGACATTGCATTTTTTTCTCAATGGAAAGCCAGGCTGCCACTGCTCCCCGTCCATCCATCCATCACCCCCACACTGAAAACCTGGGCACTGCAGGTTTCATTTCAACTTTATCACCACTTTTGCCCACACCATCTCATCCTGAGGGTTTTCTGCCCCTCTGGCCCCATCCCTGTCCATCTGAAGAACAAGTTCTGTCTCATTCCCTCTGTGAGCTTAAGCTCGATCACAGCCACCCCTCAGCACAGCCACCCTTCATCCTTACCTTGCTGAGTCCTGGCATTCAGGGCAGCACATCCTGGGTGAAATTGGGGGAAAAAAATAAAAAAAAAATTAAAAAAAATTCAAACTCCAAATCCTCCCCCCAAATCGCAGTGGCCCAGTGGAGTGTGGTGCACAGAGGGTTTGTCGGTGGCAGCCAGGGCTCGGAACAAAGTTGTGGGGTGGAGGGGGAGGAGAGGCTGATTGACAGCCCTGGGCTGAGCCTCATCCCTCACCTTGGGCCATGCGGTCTGATTGGCCGCCTGCTGACATCCCCGAGCCCTGCACTTTTTAATAGACGCTTTTGGATGATCTACGGGGGAAAGGCTTGGAGAGGTGTGTTTCTGACAAGCCAGAAAGTCATCCGAGCCACGAGGGACTTGGCTTCACTCTTTTTACCCCCCCTCCCCTTTTTTTTTTTTTTTTTTTCTTTTTTTTTTTTTTTTTTTTTTTTTTTTCCTGGGAGGAGGGGGATTCTTCATTTTGGCACTTCATGTTTTTCTGAAAACTTCGCGGCGATTTTCCCCTTGCACCAGCCTGGACTAATGGATTACCACCTGCTTGGACTAATTCTGTCTTTTCTCTTCAATGGCACAAAGGTCTTAGCCGGTTACCCAATTTGGTGGTAAGATTCCTTCCTCCCCTCGCCCTTCCTCTGCCTATGATTGATTAATGAATTCATTAATTATTAGCCACGGGAGCTGTGTGCTCCTGCCTTTCCACCCCTCGCCCTGCGGAGCTGCCCATGGTGGAGTGGAAGCGTAATTTCTTCCGATTTGACCTGTAATTAATGAAATCAGGGAAAAGTTTGGGGGTGATTTTGAAAGGGCCATGCCTGGGTTTCCCTTTGCGCAAATGGAGGCTTCCCCACCACTCTTAATTTCTCCATTTTCGGCTCTGTAGCGATGGGCTCTTGGCTCGCGTGTGAAAGGATGCGGTTTTATTTCCTTGTGCAATGGGAATTTTGTCTCTCGCACGACTCTGCCACGGGGATTTTCTTCCTTTCCATGAAACTGCAATTGATCCTTTTTTAAAAAAAAAATTAATTCTGATTTCTGTTTGGTTGCTGCGTTTTTTTGGACTTCTTTCCCTTCTTTTGTTGTATTCTGTCATGTGAATTTAGTCGGGCAAATAACGCAAATGGCACCTGAGAAAACATTCATTAGGAAAATTGCTGAAAGGTGGATTTTGTTCATTTTAATTATGGAAATGTCGTTAATTTCCTTGCACCATTGAAAAAAATAAATTTTAAAAGAATTGGTTATATCTTATAATGAGGCTGATAAGTAACATGAGTTACTTATTTTAAAAATAAATCTAACACTATAGAAATGAATACAGTAACAAAATGCAATTGGAAGCCCTTTAGAACAAGAAATATAGAATTAAATATTCCGGGTCATTTAAACCCAGCAGACAGCGAGTTGCATAACAGAATACTTCAGTTTATTTCTCTCTTTATGTAGGATTTCTTGCTGGAATATCTCTTGTTAAGTTTCTGTATGTGCCAGGTAGGGGCTGGTGATCCGTAGGGAAAACAGGGAGATGGTGGAATTTGGTGCTACTGAGATCCTTGGGTTATTTTTGCCTTTCCAGAAAAGTCTCTCTATTTTATTCCTGAATTAGATCCTTTCAGTGCCAGCATGGAGATGGCAAGAAGTAGGTGGCAGTGAACTTGGGAATGGACTGCCATGCCCGGGAATATTTAGAATTCAGAAGGGAAAAGATCAATTTATTTATTTTTAATAATGCATTTATTACTGTGGACTTTGGGAAGGAGAATGTGCGGTTCCAGAGGAGAAAGACTGAGGGCACAATGAGAAGTCCCCGCTCAGGAAGCGTTTCAAAGCTCCGCAGGTTCATGAAATGGCTAAATCACAGCAGGTTTTCCTGGAGAATTAAATGATTTCCTCGCCCTGAGCGTGGCTGCTGAACTTCAGGCGCTGAGCCTGGGGCAGGGGAGGCTCCTGAAATGCAGAGAGCAGAGCTTTGATTCCTCCCAGCCCTTTTCCCCCACCTGGGCACCGCTGTGTGGGCACGGGGCAGGTGCTGGAACAGGATGCCAGGGCTGGGTCCGAGGCAGGGACACCTTGCCATGACATCAGCTCTCAGCATCCCACCAGCCCCTGGCCTGCCTCAGCCTTTGATAGAAATCAGCATTTCATGCCCAAATCAAGGAGGGTTTCAACTCTCAGAGCGAGGAGCCGAAACCTTCTTGACGAAAAGGTCTCGTTTTCCCTGTGAGCAAAAATGTCCCCGTGAGCAAAATGTCCCCCGGGCCTGTTTTCACACAGGTGTGTGCCCCATTCCCTTCTCCCAAACCCCCCGAGTTCACCCCAAAGGAACAATACAGAGGATGCAGGACACAGAGGCCGGGGGCATGGCAAGCAGCATCCCTGGGAAAGGAGGGACTCAAACACAGAATTTCATCCACAGATCCAGGGTTTGCATATTTTTGTGGACTCTGGCAACACCAAAGTGCCAGAGAGTCTCTGCTGCTCTGGAGGGACGTGTGGTGCCCCATGTAGGGCCGAGGTTTCAAATGCTGTGGGGTTTTAGAGGTTTCTTGAAGGCTGAGGGAGCAGGAGGGCAGGAATATCTGGGCCAGGGCTCCCTGGCAGCTCAGGCACAGACAATGCTCCCAGAGCACACGAATTAAAGGTGTCCTTTGGTCCCACTGAAGGCTTTCAATGTCTGCTCTGTGGAGGTGAGGTTTGTGCAGTGGGCTCTGGCATGGTGTGATCTATGCTCTTATAAAAACATCATTTTCCAATTGTCTTCCTGATCCTCTGATCTTTAGGCAGGCACAGAGCAGCCTTTGGGGGATGAGCCCCACTTGCAGGGTTCAGCACACCCCAAAACAGGGCAAGGGAAGCAAAGGTGGGGCTCAGCATCAGCCTGGTCCCCTGTGCTGCTGTCCTGCACCCCTCCAGGCCAGGCTGGGCTTCCTTCCCCCCAGCTAAACCCAGCTCTGCTAAACTCGAGACCTTCAGGGGGGCTGTTCCTGTGGCAGAGCCCCAAGGATGCTGACAGCAGTGCCCTGTGCTGCTGCCACAACCTTCCTGGGGCTTTTCCTGCTGGACAGGGAATGTTTTGGCAGCAACATCAAAACAGATCCTTTCTGCTGTGGGACAGAAATGAGAAAAATGTTTATTCCTGTGGTGGGGAGGAAGTGTCTGGGTGTGTCTCAAAGAAAAGAAGTGTGGCAAGAACGGGGTCTGATCACCTTGGAAATGGGTTTGGGGGTGGCTGGAATAATCCTGCAGCTCCAGGTGCAGCCAGACAATGCCAGGAGCCCAGGAGCAGTGACCCTGCAGGGATAAAGGCAAAGGGATGGAGCTGCTGAGGGTCTGGGGGCTGTGTTTTACTGAGGGGCCAGGGAAGGACGTGGTTCTTCACATTGTCCAGGGAGAGGAGAGCCCAAGTGCAGCCCTGGAGCTGTGCAGGGGGGTCCTGCCCCAGCTCTGGGCACAGAGTGCACAGCAAAGGGAAGGTCCCTGTGCTGCAAACGCAGAGCTGGGGGTCCAGACCCACTGGATGGAGAATCCCAGAGGGGGGCTCAGCCCAGGGGGTGTTGGAAACTCCCTGACATCGCCCTGTCCCCGGCCAGGCAGCTCTGAGTGAGCTCCAGGGGTGGCTCAGGCTGTGGATGGAACCTCCAGTGAGCAGGGGAGGGATTTTGACACAGCTCCAACCCTTCTTCACATGCTCCCATCCCATTAGAGCCGTGCAAGGGAACAAATGGGGCACAGATGGGAAAAGGTCAGCGAAATGCTGCCTGTGAGTGCTGACAGGAGGGGCTGAGGCCAACAAAGCTCCCTCAGAGACGTGTCCAACACTTTGGCTGTCTGCTTAGTGCTGCTAAAAGAGCAGGAGATGGGAGCTGTGGTGGGGCCATGGACACCAGGCTGCTGCTCCTGACCTGCCAGGGGGGTGTGGTGGGAGCAGAGTGGGCAGGGGGCTGTTCCCAGCCCCTTGGGACATGCCAAGGCCTTTTAGGGCACCAAAAACACCTCCAGTTGTTGTTTGAATCCCAAATGCCCCGGTGGCCTGGATAATGCCATGGATGGCAGGACATGTCCCAGTCACTGGGCTGGGGGACCAGGGTGTGACAGACTGGTCCATGCAGTGTGCAGAGACTGGGAGGGGGGCCCAGCTTTGTGGTGACTGTTCTGGGAAAATTCAGCTGGAAATGCAGCCCATGGCCAGAGCTGTGTCAGTGCAGGCCAACAGAGATATTGTGTCCTAGGAAACAAGCAGAAATCACTGCCAGGATGTCATACACGGGCAGGGGCTGAAGAGATCAATGACAGAGACATTTCCACCCATGAACTGCCAAGAAACACCCAAAGCTCTCCTCCTCCATGGGCAGCATTCCCCAGGAAGTCTTGAAAACCTCTGGTGTGTCACCAGCCCGGAGAAAGGAGCCAGCTTTGGAGTCACTGGGGTAAACAGTGAGTAAAAAATTCAGCCTCACTCCTCTCATCATCCCTCAAGATCTGATAATGAGGGACTAATGAGACTAATGAGTGTCTGCCTGTCACTGTGACTGTCACCAAGTTCCTCTCCCCATTCAGCATTCCCTTGTCTCTAAGCTGATGATTTGGCAACAGCAAGAATGGCTTTGTCCATCCTAAGTTATTCAATTTTATCTCTACCCCACAGAAATGTTTTTGGGGAAAGCAGGAGATGCTGGCAGCAGGATCCCAGTGGCCTTGGGCCCTTAGGAAGAGACAGGGGGAAACTTCAGAGCACGTTCTCACTCATCCCACAGCAGCTTCCTCCTGAGGAAAAACCTGTGAGAGCCTTTTTGTGTAGATGCAGCCAGAGGTGACATTTACCTGGTCCCCTTCAGCTGCCAGTGCCTCGCCTCACTGGGACAAATGGGAACTTCATTTTCTTGGCAATCAGGAGTTTCTCCTTCTTTGAAGATTCAAAACATTTTCATCCCACAGCCCATGTCCTGTTAGAGGTACACGGCCCTTCCATCTTTATTGTAAAGGAGTAAAACTGAGTGCAGCATCACTCAGTGATCTTTGTCAGGTCCCTGCAGCTCAGGATATCCCAGGCAGAGGCTGAGGGAATGATGGAGGTCAGGGATGGAGCCAGGGGTGCAGCTCTGGCACCCCAAAGCAGAGCAGCCCCAAAGGCACCAGGGCCCCACACCCACCCACAGCACAAACCTGGAGCCCCCTCCTGTCCCCCCTGCTCTAACAACACTCCCGTGCCCAGGGACCAGGCACTGCCCCCCAGCTGGCTCAGGACAGGATTTGAGCTCATGTTCTCACTCTCCTCTCTCAGGGGGGGCATCTCCAGCCCCAGGGCTCTGAGTCACCAAATCACTCCTGACTTCTGAATTTCACCCTCTGTCTGACACTCAGGGGGCATTTCATTTCTGCTGCAGTCCTGGAGGACAAATGGAATTCTCTGCGGGGGTACCAGGGCTGTGAGCAGCACAGAAGGTTCCCTTCCCCCTGACATTGGTGATCTGAGGCTCAGACCCTTCCACTGCCAGGTCAAACAGTTCAGTGGGGTTGGATTTTACGTGGAAAGGCAGGAAAATGTCCAAGCAGCCAGTTTTAAAGAAAAAAAACTCCAAACATTACCCTGGAAATAATAAAGACA